GTTCGTAGTTTTTTCGATAATGTTGGCGATGGAGTTGCAGAAAGCGGCAGAAGACAGTCAAAACAAAGAAAAATGAAACGACTCTCGTGAGTTCCTCAGTTGTACTCACTGTGCTACAAACACTCTCCGATTTCTTTCCCCGTTCTCCAAAGAAACAAGTCATTCTTGACTCTTATTACATCGAATATTGTAAATCCTTTATTGACCAAGTTGGTTCGGTCAAGATACCTTGATTTCAACCTCGTTCTTTTTTCTGCGTTTGTATGGACCTCGACTTCGTCTCGGTCCACAAATACACCGAAACAAAGACGTCGGTCAATATCCAGCCATCGTGACATCACGCTTGGTCAATAACGCATTTTTACTGTCTGCCATATAATTGTTATCACGTCACTTCGATCCAAGGGCTCACGTTGCACATGTAACTGATTATGCAGGCTAAGGTACTTCGCATGAGCTTAGTCGGATTTAAAAACACGAAAAGGACATTAAGAATTTTTACTTTTGTTTCGCATGTAAATTGAGAGGGAATCAGTCCTCGCCATTAATGTAGTATGGGCTTCGCTTATTAGATTGTCTGCCCATCTTTTGGATGAAGTTGTTAAGACTTTCAACGGCTCATAAGCCGCCCAAGGAGCCTAAAATATATATTTAGCTCCTTAGACACAACTGGTGAGAACTTCACGAGCTACTTGATTAAAGTTTTTTAACGAAAAGTTTTGCTGATAATAACCTCGTGAGCAACTTGTTTGAAGTTTCCAACGCGAATTCTTGCTTTTCGGGAAGATCATTAAGTATGTTTATAACACTTTATAATCTGCACTTCAGGCGGAATGATTTTGCATTCCGTGCCTGAATGCTTCTTTCTCTGCCAGAGACTGGAAGGAGGATGTAGTTACCAAGGTAACGATATGACGTTGACGTGTAGTTATTACGCGATCACGCGATCCCTCAAATATCGTATTGCTACAAGGCACCGTCTGATCTGTTGTTGATATTGAAGTAGAGTGAGATGCTTTCCTGTAGCAAAATGGTTGCCCACGCCGAAATTCTTCTGTCAGAGTGTGCTCAGTTTCGAAACAAAAGTCAATTCATCGACGTTCAATTAAAAGTTGGTGAAGACATCATTCCAGCTCATCGCATCGTGTTGGCTGCGAGTAGTAATTATTTCTACGCCATGTTTACAGATGGGATGAAGTAGTCCACCCAGGAAGTGATCGAGCTGAGAGATGAAAG